CCCCCCCCCCTGACAGCCGGCTGTGAGTCAGCACATTAAGAACAGGCAGCAGACACAGAGCAGGAGGGGGCTAACGACCCCCAATTCAGACGGCAGGCCCCTCCCAGCCACACAAAAGCAAACAGGAGATGTTCTATTTTTAAAGATGCAGAGTGTTTTTTGTCCCAAAATGTTCAAGAAATTAATTTTGGAATTCTGAAATTGGGCCTGGTGGGCCCAGACTTACCCCTGGTCCCACAGGTGAGTCCTGGGTAGCAGCGAGACCCTGAGGTACGGGCGCTGATGGGCCTGGGAGAAAACACAAGGGAGCAGCAGGTGGGGGAAACCGTCAGCCTCCATGGGTCTGGTGGACCACTGGCCCAGTGCGGTCAGGTCTTGATACATTCCATCTTATCTGTAACGCGCTCAACCAGTGGCTGCCGCCCAGAGTTGAACACAGCAAAGTGCAATCTGGACACCCGGCAGAGTGTACGAGACCGCAGGCTCGCATACAGCGGGAGAAATGGTAGACCTGGGCAGGACCTGCTGCGGAGGATGTGGAGCCTGGCTGCGTCCTCACTGTGCTGCCTCATCCTTTCTGGGATCATGCAGTCTCACTAATGTGGGGCTTAATGAGATAGGAAATTTTGGGGACCCTTAAAGTTCTTTAGTGTGTTTACTCAGCTCCTTTTCAATCTTTTCATCTGCTCACACATGCCTGTCTTGAAAAATCCAGGGTCTGATGTTTTGATCTGGTGGTTGTTTCTGGCTCTCACCAGCTTGCTGTTTTGTTAAATAAGAAACTCTTCTGAGCAGACATGTGGTACATGCAGCCGGCCGGGCTCGCAGCCGGACCAAGGCCCCACTGAGCTCAGCCTGTGCTCCTAGTGCCACCTGTTCTATGTACAGGCACAGAGCACTTGGAGAGGCCCACCAGGCACAGGCAAAGCCGCCCTTCACATGCTGCCCTGGAGTGAGGGGCCGAGATCTTGACCATCTGAAGTCCCCAACGCAGAGCGAGAAGCCTTCTCCCACAGGAGCCACCTGCACCCACAGTCCAAGGGCTTAGGCTGGCATCTTCCATGCCCTCCTCCTCAGGCCACAGGAACCCCAAGACCCAAGCAGACCCTGTACTCGGCACACAGCTCGCCAGCGTCACTGGGGTATCTGAAATCTACCAATTCGCTCCACTGCACTTGAGCAACCACAGCCATTTATTATGTGTGAAGTTGATGTCACTTCACACATGCTACCCATCTTCCTTCACCTGCCACGGTCACCACCTTCGCAGAACAGTGGGGGCTGTGCCAACCAGACCCCAAGCCCATCCTGATGGAGCACCTCCGCCCACTTGAAGGCCAGGGTGTGACTGGGATGTGATGTGAGACTGGGCACACATCCACTGGGGTTACCCACCTGGTCTCCCTGAGGACCACATCCCAATCTCCAGCTGTCGTGTTCATGCTCTGCCTGGCTCATCACAATCCCCTTCACAGTGACATGACCATCCACTGTGAGTAACCCGGTAGGACTTCCGGAATAATCTGAACCTCTGAGAAATCGCACCCTCCCCGTGGCCTTGCCCTCCTCCCGTCACTCTCATCTGACCAGCTATTAGGCATGCCCAGATGTCTACCTTGGCTCTCCCTCTTTCCCGCCCACAGCTTCCACTGCCAGACTCCCAGCATCGCCCACATCTGCCATAAGATGTCAAGCAAATGAACTTCTCACAGTCATCCAGAGTCCTGGAATCCCTAAAGCACATAGCATGGTATAGGCACTCAATACCCACTGACTAGAGATCTGTGATTTTAAACACTGTATACTTGGTAATGAGAATATCGAGCAACTTTCTGTTATACTCTGAAGCCAAAAGAATGATAATAACAACATTAACAAAGACTATCTTCCAAGTAGAAATCAAATACCTTCAATATCACCCTAAACCCTATAGAGCCCACACGCTATCCAAGCCTTTTCCAGCTGCTCCCAGAATCCATTTGAGAAGGTGCTGTATGCCCATCCTGGGCTCCTTGATAGGGATAGGGGACAGAAAGACAAGTGAGGGCCAGGCCAGTGGCATGCCTACATTTCAGACAACCCAACCACCCACCTCAGTGGGCACAGCTCACAGTCCAGCCACCTCTTGGCAGTGTCTGCTCACCTGGCCTCGATCCTTCCTAACAAGTCAAGTTAGCAAGACTCAGAGGAACTCTGAAACATTCTTGTTAGAGGAGCCTGTAGTTCCAGACATGAGCTCATCCACTACGAAGAGGTAAGCAAGTCATCTAGCACACTGTGCTTCCGTAAGAAGATGTCATCTCCTTAGAAGCAAAAGCAGATGAGGGTCTGCCAAGGGCCCGACTGTCCTCAAAACTGTCTTCCTCTCCCCCAGGTGCCTTGAGCTCTTTTGCAGACCATTTCCAAACACCCTACTGCCTGCTCACGTCCCGGCCCTGGAAACAGCCTAAGAAAATGAAAAGTAGCCAAGTGAAGTTCGACTTTGTTCCACCTTAAATGGGGATTCTGAAAATCCGCAGGCTGATTTGCGGTAATGAGGAAAAATTGCAGAAAATGGCTCCATTATCTTCAGCTAAGAGCCAGCACTTAGGAGCTGGACCCTCCATGAATCCTGTGGGTGAGTAAACTCCAAATGCTGCAGGAAGTTAAACCATCCAAGCACATTATGACTTCTATGTGCTCTTTATTTCCCCCCAGTCTCAAATGTGGTACTGTGTGATATGTTTTTCCAGGTCATCTTTTATATCATGACTTACTATACAATTTCAAGAAAGTAAAACACCATTTTTAAAAAAAGGCTTTGGCAACCATTTAAAAGAAACCTGATGACAAGCTCAGGACCAAGAGGCCCCAAATTCACACACCCCAGGAAAGCATTGGTTGAAAGGAAATATATCAGAACCATACAATCAGCAGGCTTCAGATCTTTGTATTTTTTTTTTTAATTCATGAGAGAGAGTGCATGCACATTCATACGAGAGAGAAAGAAATGGACAAGCTCAGTGGACTCTCTTCATACCATGATCCCTTTTCCCTCACATGCCCAGCATGTTTTCTGATCAACTCAAGATCCAACCTGTAGCTAGCCACATGGCCTCCAGTACAGCAGCTTAGCTCATACCACCTGCACCATAAAGGCTGGGTCAGAAATCTTTTATTTTAATGTTTGATATGCTGGTTATTGGTTAAACTGCTTCTCAAACAATACTAAGTGTCCCACTGTGCCCTCCAGAGAACGCCTCCTTACTTTATGTCCCCCAAGGGTCCTAAAACTACAATGCGAATGTCCGAGTGGGAAGCCCAACTTCACCCTTAAGACACAACAAGGTTGAGAGCTGCGCAGGCCAGCAGAACTGCACCATAAAGCCACACGAGTTTGTGCACGAGATGTGTGCAAGAACATCTGCATTATGCATGGGAATGTGTGCATGAGGCTACCTGCAGAAGCGCTGCTAAACACAGCAAAGCGTCGAAGTGTTAGGTAGAAGCACCTGTTAAGACCTGGCATGTCCTATGGAGCTTGGCATGTCCTACAGTAAGTAGCTCTGCACTCCACAGAAGGGACAAGTTTGGACAGTGTGTGCTGACCTAGGAAGGTGGCCAAGACAAGTAATGAAGTGAGAGGAGTCAGTTACGAACAATGCATACAGTGTAATCCCATCCACATTAGTGGAAAACAAAGAAAGAAAACCACTTGTATATGAGGTACGCTAGTAAATGCATTGAAATTCGCTGGACAGTATGGGATGTAAAGGGTTATTATAGTTACCTTTTGTGCACATTAGTAACCATGTATTCATATATTATCTGTAGAATTTAAAATAAATCAGTCGGGACCTGCAGGTGGAGTAGTGGTTACATCACTGGACTCCCAATATGGCCGACGGCAGTTCGCGTCCTGGACCAGTGGCTTGAAACAAGCCAGGCACGTGTGTGTGCATGCCCAAGATCCCAGGAGGAGAATGGAGGAGAAGGAATCGTGGTATGGACATCCCCCCTGCAGGGTAATTTCTCACTTTCTCTTTCACTGTCTCTGTCTCTCTCTCTCTGTCGAGCACATGTGCCCTAAGGCAAAAAAAAAAAAACCTGAAAATAAAATAAAATAAATTTGTTTTCAGTTCTTAGCTTTCGGTTTTTGTTTTCTTTTCTTTTCTTTCGTTTTTAAATGAGGGAATGAGAAAGAAAAGGAAAGATAGCCATCGGACAGGTCTCACCACACTGCAATCCTCCTGCCCAAGCCCCCAGTTAGCTAGGACCACAGGTAGGCTCCACCACAACTGGCCTGTTCATGTTAGGTTGAGAACCTGCAGGCACCCCATGCAGCCTCAGCCACCACACAGCATGCCCTCTTGCTTGCAACATCGCAGGTAGTTTCATTTCTAGCATAATGGTCGTTATAAAGTGATCCTGTATGTTCATGCCAGAGCCTGAAGCTCCTGGATGAACAAATGACACACCACTGAACAGAACTGAAAAGTGAGGTTTCCACAGCAAGCAGGTAGTGAGGCTGGCCACTCTCCCAAGGGGCCAGCAGAAGGCTGGGCTCCTTCCCTGGAGGTAGAATGGCATCTGGCCAAGCAACCAGGACTGTGGTTTCAGGAACATAACCTGGATGTTAAAAAGAGCACAGACACTCAGAGATGAGCTTGTCGACAGCTGCTCTAAGCAACTAAGGGGCCACAGGGCCCAGGAAAAGGTGTTGCCAGCACACTTCAGCTGCATGGAGCCATCACCAAGGAGCCCAAGGAGGGACTGAGTCAGTGGTTTCCCATGACAGCAGAGCACACTGCGATCCAGGGTGGTCCATGCTGGTTGCTGAAACAAAGGAAAGACTCCAGATTCTAGCAGGCTTTGCCAGCTGTCTGAAGATTAATTTTCCCTGACACTCTATTACTCTCCACTCAGTTTCTACTCACCTAAAACCGCTGTCAACAAAAATCTCAATTATCCACTCCACTTTTCTATCGATTCAGTTGTGAGAAGCCCAAACACCCCACACTTGACTAAAACATAGGCCTCCAAAGGCTTGGCAGGGGCCTGCACTCTGACCCCAAATCCAGGCTACTATGAGTCCCACTTGGTCACACGTAGTCTTCACGCTTCCTCTGCATTATGCTTGGAGCAGATCTTCGGGATGGTGCCAGTTCCATGCTCCGGGGAGAGAGAAGACACCTCAGGTGAACACTGCTCAGACAGCACTTTGGGTGAGTCAAAAGGCAAAGGCTGTCAGGTGAGAAAATCAGACACGAATGTGCCAACAGGGGCGAGAGTTCCCCACAACATACCCT